TCTTGTTATTCTTGCTGGTAAATGTACATAGTACAGTGGTACCTTGGGTTACAGACACTTCAGGTTACAGATGCTTCAGGTTGCAGACTCTGCTAACTCAGAAATAGTACCTCAGGTTAAGAGATTTGCTTCAGGATGAGAACAGAAATTGTGCAGTGGCAGCACAGTGGCAGCACAGTGGCAGCAGGAGGCCCCATTAGCTAAAGTGGTACCTCAGGTTAAGAACAGTTTCAGGTTAAGAACGGACCTCCAGAACGAATTAAGTTCTTAACCCAAGGTACCACTGTAATAGGGTCAATTTCACACCCAGAGAGACGCATCAGTCCACACAATGAGAGAAAGATCACACTGCAGAACAGCCTTCCAAGCAGAATTTCATGCTTTTTGCTGTAGAAGGCTGACGCCTACCATTGTTTTGTGGAGCGGACCAGTATTAAAACTCTCTGCGTGTACCATCTGGAACCTACCCCAATAGTGGAATGCAATGCTCCATTAACAAAGTTCCCAGTTCCTTCCAGTGTAAATATACTGGAATGTTTCTTCAAAACTAGCATTTTCCCTGCTGATCTCTCAAACAGAATTATAATGAAAACACAGGCATCTTGCCGACAGTTCCAGCCAGAAAACAATGAGAACTGAGCTTATTCTTTCAGATTTATGGAAGACCTATCTGCCTTCTTACATTCATCGGACAGACATTTGCAACAGATTTATTTGAAAGGCCATCTTCTTTGCACTGAAAGAGCAGCGTGTCTTAGCCTGGTCCAAGGTCATTTGCTACATTACAAGCTTGGTCACTTTCAGTCTGAATCCCATCTTATCGGTGCCACATGTTTACCAACAATAACCACTTAGCTGTGGTAGAGGCTCTCAGGGCCACCACATCAACTTTAGTGTAACAATGTGTTCTACAAGGGGGAAGAGAGGGCTATTGATGGCTACTAGCTATGTTCTGCTTCCGTGGTTGGAGGCTATAAGAAGAGTTTGGATTTGATATCCCGCTTTTTCACTACTCTAAGGAGTCTCAAAGCAGCTAACATTCTCCTTTCCCTTCCTCCCCCACAACAAACACTCTGTGAGGTGAGTGGGGCTGAGAGACTTCAAAGAAGTGTGACTAGCCCAAGGTCACCCAGCAGCTGCATGTGGAGGAGTGGGGAATCGAACCCGGTTCACCAGATTACGAGTCCACCGCTCTTAACCACTACACCACACTGGCTTCTGAATACCAGTTTCTGGAAATCACAGGATAGGAAGCTCTCTTTGCTCAGGTCCTGATGAAAGGTTTCCCACAGGCATCTGGTTGTCCTATGTGAGAACAGGGTGCTGGACTGGGTGGGCCCCAACAGGTTCTACTTAGGTTTTTAGCTATAGGGGTGTGGGTGGCACTGTGGGTTAAACCACAGAGCCTAGGGCTTGCCAATCAGAAGGTCGGCAGTTCGAATCCCCGCGACGGGGTGAGCTACGGGGTGCTCAGTCCCTGCTCCTGCCAACCTAGCAGTTTGAAAGCCCGTCAAAGTGCAAGTAGATAAATAGGTATCTCTCCGGCAGGAAGGTAAATGGCGTTTCCGTGCGCTGCTCTGGTTTCACCAGAAGTGGCTTAGTCATGCTGGCCACATGACCCGGAAGCTGTACACCGGCTCCCTCAGCCAGTAAAGCGAGATGAGCGCCGCAACCCCAGAGTCATCCGGGACTGGACCTAATGGTCAGGAGTCCCTTTACCTTTACTGTTGGACTCAATCCTTTAATAAAGCAATGCCATTTTCCTTAGCTCAAGTTTGGGGGAAAACGTTTCAACTCTTCGGAGAAACTTTCTGGGGCCCACATGCTAGTAGTAGGTGGGCCAAAAGAGCAACAAATGGTGATTTTTTTCCCCATTATGCAGTAGTTTCTGCACACACACACACTCCTCTCTGTTCTTCACGCAAGCAAACAAGAAGCTAATCAGAGATCAACTAGACATTCCAGCCAGGCAAAAACACTCAAGCAGGGTGCAGGTTACGGCTGATGAGAAATATGGCCTGGGGAGAGAGAGGTTGTGGCTGGGAAGAGTCCTGAAAGCCAGAGAGGTCAGATCTCTGGAAGGCCATATTTGATCCCTGGGCCTGAAGTTCTCCATCCTTGTTTCAGCACCTTAATGCAGCTGGATTCTCATGGCAAGCTGTTCCTCACTGCATGGACCTTCCGCTTAGGACTCCCGCCGTCCCTAATTTGCTTTTGGGGAAGCTTGTTTCCGTAATCCCCTTGGACTGGCCTCCAGAGCCTGTTTGGAGCAATGCTGTGAGGCAAAATGACCAGACATAATGACTTTCCAAGGTCCTTGTGATACCTTATTAACATTCTGCTAGCATAAGTCCTGACTTTATTATTGACTACATTGAATACACAATGCACTGACCTCTGCCTCCTGCAACTAAATCTCTTCCTGCAGATCTATCAAACTGATTTCATACCCAGAGGAAGTGGGGTGGATGGAGGAGGAGGAGGAGGGAAAGAACCAGTGCTAACTGGCCATTATTTGGTCCTGGGAAACTTTGAGCACTCGATGGGAAAGGTTGCCTGTTCATTTGATGCTAATTAGCATTATCAGGAGGACATTATTATACTGCAATTTCAGATGCTAAGATGTAGCCCTAAAGAAACAAAACATGTTGAAACTAAAAGCATCATGATTTTTAAAGGAACATAATAAAAGCCTTGCTAGATCAGACCAAAGGTCCATCTAACCCAACTTTCTAGTAGCAAGGCAGATGCTCAGAAGCAGAATTTGCAGACGATAGCCTTCCATGGGCATAGCCAGGATTTTTGTTGGGGGGTGGGGACAGAACCTCAGCAGACGAACCTCAGTTAGAACCTTTACACCACCAAAATCTAAAGAAATAGGAATGGATTCCTTTGAAAAGTACTAATATTCTGGCTAATTCCAAAGCGATAGCCATGTTCTTCTGTTGCAGCAAACACAACCACAATTGGTTGGTTGCTTAAAGTAGCCTTCATGAACCTGATGACCTCCAAATATTTTGGACTACCATTCCCATCAGCCTCCATGATTATAGCCGTATGATGCAAGACCTGATGGGAGAAGTGTCTGTAGTTAATGGCAGTTGGCGTCCGAAACATCTGGAAGGTTCCAGATTGGCAAAGGCTGCTCTAACCACTACACCACACTGCTTCTAGCAAGGCATAAAATTGACTGCTCGTTCCCTAAGAACGTGCCAATTCTTCTCTCTAATCCCCAAAGAGAAGCAGAACGCTTTGCACCTATAGCAGCATCCTCCAACCTGGTGCCTTCCTTATGTTTTAGACTGCTACTTCCATCATCACCACTAAGCAGGAGGGCACCAGGTTAGACAAGTCTGTCTTAAGACTATTAAATATAATGTGGCATTTGTTTTCATAGTGCCCACTTTATCAGATGCAAGGTGTGATCTTCAGCTGGGACATATGTGCTTACACGGGAACATACAGAAAATTGGGACGGGGGATATTATTACAAAGTGAGGCTAGAAGACCCAGCAGCCTTGTAGCTGTATTAAAATAAAGCCATTTATCAAGGTTTGCTGTTCAACTACCCTCGTTCCAATGGCTCTTGAGCAAGAGCTTCTGATGAACAGCACCCAAGTGCAGGAACTTAATTTTGGCTTTAAGTCTTCTCCATTTTGGTTTACATAGGTGTCTCTCTCATTCTTACGAACTTTTTATTTAAAACAGAATAATTAAAAGCGTACCTTTCACCATCTCCATTAACTCCCCAGGCGGGCGGAGGAGGGGGGAGGGGGAAAGTAAGAACTTGTATTTCATTGACTGTAGTTTATGCAAATGAGGTCAGAGGAATTAACATATTGGAAGGAGCTGACATTTGTCCTGATATATTGAATCATTAGCATGACAGAATCACTTAAGCTGGATCCACTAACATCAGGTTTCCTCTCATTATTGACCCCTGCAGAGTGGGCCTGACAAGTAGAACTGCCACAAAGTTCATTAATAATGTGAAATAAATCAGTCGTTCGGGAAATACTGAAAACAGATGACACCGAACTCACACTTTTTGCAACTTCAGCACAAATGGTTCTTTGCCAAGGACACTGGTGGGCAACGCTGTCCTTTCCTGACCTAGATTCAGGTGCAACACTTATTAGCAGGTGCCTCTGGAGGAGGTGGTTTCAACTGTTGAGATATTTTTTTCTCCCTCTCTCATAACAGTAGAACTCAGGATATCCAAGGAAGCTGAATGCTGGAAGACTCGGGACAACGGGAAGTACCGTATTTTTCACTCCATAAGACGCAGTGAAAGGCAGTGAAAGATTTTACTTTCTTGGGCTCCATGATCACTGCAGATGGTGACAGCAGTCACGAAATTAAAAGATGCCTGCTTCTTGGGAGAAAAGCAATGACAAACCTAGACAGCATGTTAAAAAGCAGAGACATCACCTTGCCAACAAAGGTCCGTATAGTTAAAGGTATGGTTTTCCCAGTAGTGATGTATGGAAGTGAGAGCTGGACCATAAAGAAGGCTGATTGCTGAAGAATTGATGCTTTTGAATTATGGTGCTGGAGGAGACTCTTGAGAGTCCCATGGACTGCAAGAAGATCAAACATATCCATTCTGAAGGAAATCAGCCCTGAGTGCTCACTGGAAGGACAGATCCTGAAGCTGAGGCTCCAATACTTTGGCCACCTCATGAGAAGAGAAGACTCCCTGGAAAAGACCCTGATATTGGGAAAGATGGAGGGCACAAGGAGAAGGCGACGTCAGAGGACGAGATGGTTGGACAGTGTTCTCGAAGCTACCAGCATGAGTTTGACCAAACTGCAGGAGGCAGTGGAAGACAGGAGTGCCTGGCGTGCTCTGGTCCATGGGGTCACGAAGATCCGGACACGACTAAATGACTAAACAACAACAAGACGCACCTAGTTTTTAGAGGAGGAAAACGCACACAAAAATTCTGAATCAAATGTACTAAACTATTTAAAGCAGCAAAGCGGGCGGCCCCTGTCCGCTTTGCTGCTTTGAAGCAAGCCATGGAGGAGGGATGGATGGAAGCCATTGCTCTCCTTCCTTCCCTCCTCTGAGGCTCGCTTTAAAGCAGCAAAACAGACAGGAACCGCTTACATGTCCCTCCTCCACGCAGCATTCGCTTCATAAGATGCACAGACATTTCCCCTTACTTTTTAGAGTGCTCACCAAAGAAGAAGGAGAAGACATTCAAGCTTATTCAGTGTGCAGTGAAGGCAGCAAAGAAAACTTACTTCTCAGTCTCCATTGCGTCCTCAGTGTGCAGAGCAGTAGAGCTGTTTAGAGTGGCTAAGGGCTTATTACATACTGGCTCTAGGTATGTGGTTGAACCATCTAAACCCCACTGTGTCATGTTTGCTGAGCATTTTGAGGATAAAACCGCTTCCATCTGCCAGGATTTGGACCCATTGTGGGTGCTAATGAGCCTGGTGAGATGTCGAACACTTTTCTGTCCAATGCCATTGGATGAATTTCAGTTGCTGCGGCCTGAGGACACTGAAAAGGGACTTGACCAGGTCCATGCAGCCACTTGTGTCTTGGATCCTTGCTTCTCATGGATCTGGTAGGGTGGGGACAGCTGGATGGGCCAAGGAGGTCATTAATCCTTCTCTTCAAGAAGGAGTGGTCCCAGGCTGTCTTAAGGAAGCAGCAGTAAACCCATTCCTGAATAAACCTTCTCTGGACCCAGAATAAGTTTATATCAGTTGCAAATGTCCCCTTTCCGGGGAAGGTTATTCACATGATGGAGACAGATTTCCTCTCATATATATATATATATATATATATATATTCAGTTTTATACATTTCAATCATTTTACAATCATTTTAACATTTCAAAACTTGACTTCCTTCCCCCTTTTTCTGCGATTCCTTGAATTTATTTTTAATATTTTCTGCATATCCAAAAGTCACTTAATTTGCTCATTTATTCATCTACTTTAAATATCCACTCTTATAAAACTGCAGGTTATTACAATAATCCTGCCAGTGTTCTTACCTATTTACAGTTTGTTTATAAATATTCAATAAACCATTTCCATTCTTTTATATATAAAAAAGTTTTTTATCTTGATTTCTTAATTTTCTGGTAAGTTTCGCAATGAGACAGATTTTCTAGAACCATAGGGATTCAGGCCTGGTTTTGGTTTGGAAACTGTTTTGGTCATAAGAGAAGAAGCATGTGTGACTCTGTTGATCTCTCAGCAACTTTTGATACCATTGACTATGGTATCCTGATTGTCTGAGTTGGACATGGTGGGCCCTGCATTGCTGATTCCCTGAAACCTGAGCAGGTATAGAATTAACAGAAATTGGAGAGAGTTCAGTTTTAGCTGAAGTAGCAAACTCCAGAGATAGTTTTACCAGCTCAGCAAGAACTGGCCAGGCCCTGTGGCAGCACTTGGCATACTCAGGCAACAATTGGGAGCATGTAACCCAGAAGAGTAAACCAGGGCTCATGCTTACCTCAGTAACCATTGAGCCCTTGCCTGGCAATGTTGCTACCACTGCCATCTGCCGCCAGCTCAGGTCCCCAGCAACACTGCAGCTGCAGTTTATAACAAATTGAAAAAAATGTTAAAAATAACCTCTGTTTAAAAAAACCAGAAGCATTTTTAATAGGTATAATTGGAACAGATATACTGAAAGAATCTAAAAGTTTATTTATGTATGCAACAACAGCCGCACGGACATTGATAGCCCAACAATGGAAAGAAGAACGAGTCCCGACTAAAGAAGATTGGCAAGGTAAATTAATGGAATATGCTGAAATGGCCAAATTAACTGGAAGACTAAGAAATCAAGAGGACAGCAAATATATATAAAAAAGGAAAATGTTTATTGAATATTTACAAAAGCACTGTAAAGAACTTAACACAATGGCAGGGTTTTAAAAAACACTTGTAATATTGAGGACAATGTTTGAAATTGGAAATATTTAAAGATAAGAAAACTATAGACATATAGTTTAAAGATAGAAAACTATAAAACAACAGAAAAGAACCGGGGGAGGGAATGGAGGGAAGTCAAGGGATTGGAGGAATCCCAAAATATGGATTTAATATGGTATTAAAATGTCTTATTTTTTATTCATTTTTTATTGCATTTGTTTATTAAGGTATGTGAAGATAATGTTTGATTGTGAAAAATAATTTTTAAAACTATTTAAAAAACCCCACTGCAGTGCTGCCACCCTCCCAGAAGCTTACCCAGTGTGGAGTGGGGAAGCAGTTCTTTTTGATGGGGGTCAAGCATTTGCTCAGATTTGGCCTGGGACAGGTGGCCCTGCCACCAGGTGAACATGCTTAGGAGGGGCATTACCTGTCAGCTGCAGTGCCGTTGGGTGTGTGTGGAGTGGCTGCTATGGTCAGCAGAAGCCCAGCAGTAGTGCCACCCTGACAGGAACAGGGTCAGTCAGTAACTCTATGCCAAGGGCTCATCCATGCTTAATGGCAGCCCGCAACTGGGCCGAAGCCTAGCTAGATTTTGAAGGCGGTTACCAGCCACTAATGCTTGAAAAGACACCCTCCCTCCCGCTTCGTGCGGAGAAAATGCTAGAAGGGATTTCTGGCCCTTTCCTGTTTAACCTTACCACTCTGCAAGGTTTAAAATATTGATCGTGTTATTTTGGCGCTTAAGCTCTCACAGGCCATTTCGCCTCAAAACAATAATTAGGACACCGCCTGTTGCGGCGGTTGTTGTGTTCCCTGCAGCGGCCTTTCAGGCAGACTCATTTCATTGGTTCATCATTCTTTGCTCTATTGATTACCGCTGTCAACATCTCTACTCCAGATTGTAGAGGCTTGATGAGGACAGGTACCTAGCAAACACTGCACTGCAGAGTCAGCTGTTTGCTTGCAGATCTGAAAGGCAAAGTGTTCCAGAAAGGTGCATTGAGTGCTCAGCCAAGTGCATAATCTTTGCCAGTATATGATATAGAGCACACCGAACTATCTTATATCCCTTGTGGCAAACAGGGCTGTGAAATCGAGCCGAAACATTTGCCTGGTTCTCCTCCTCATGGGCTCACAGAATACAGTGGTACCTCGGGTTACATACGCTTCAGGTTACATACGCTTCAGGTTACAGACTCTGCTAACCCAAAATATTACCTCTGGTTAAGAACTTTGCTTCAGGATGAGAACAGAAATCGTGCAGCGGTTAGCTAAAGTGGTGCTTCAGGTTAAGAACAGTTTCAGGTTAAGAACAGACCTCCAGAACAAATTAAGTTCTTAACCCAAGGTACCACTGTACAAGACTCGACATAGGGAAATCCCTAGACCAGATTTAGGGCTGTAGGCGGGGAGAGTAAGTTCCATTCATCTGTATCCTGTTTCAGGTTTGGTACCAAGGAGGTGAGTTAGCTAAACTCAGGAGGAGTTCAAGCAAAAGAGCAGGAGATCAGGACCACGGTCAGCTCACTGTGGTTACAAAGGTTACAGGGCAAACCAACAAGCAAAGAGCTCAGAATGTTGCTCCAGCAATAGCCCGGACCCACCTGCGAGCTTCAGCAGTTCTGCAGTGAGGTGGGTGTTATGACCCTGACCTCTTTTAGGAAAAGTGCTTTGACTGAAAGGAGCCATGTACAAACCCACAAGCTTTGGTTCTGATGGGCCTGAGGATCCTCCTACTGCCCTGGATTTGACCTGAGCGGGCTGGTGCTCTCCCATAGCTTGCCTCATTTGTTCTGCCTTGTATTTTTTGCATTCTGATGGACCTTTTTCAAATGGACTCCTCTGGAGGAAAGCCAAGTAGTGTGGCACTCAACTAAGTTTTATTCAGCGCTCACCCATTGAAATTAATGAACAGAACTAAGTGAGAGCCATTAATTTCAGTAGGTCTACTCTTAGTTTGGGGATGCGGGTGGCATTGTGGTCTAAACCACAGAGCCTAGGGCTTGCTGATCAGAAGGTTGACGGTTCAAATCCCCGCAACAGGGTGAGCTCCCGTTGCTTGGTCCCTGATCCTGCCAACCTAGCAGTTTGAAAGCATGTCAAAGTGCAAGTAGATAAATAGGTACCGCTCTGGTGGGAAGGTAAACGGTGTTTCCGTGTGCTGCTCTGGTTTGTCAGAAGCGGCTTTGTCATGTTGGACACATGACCTGGAAGTTGTCTGCGGACAAACACCAGCTCCCTTGTCTAGTAAAGCGAGATGAGCGGCGCAACCCCAGAGTCATCCGCGACTGGACCTAATGGTCAGGGGTCACTTTACCTTTACTCTTAGTTTATCCATAGAATTTACCTTAATATAGACCAGCATTAATGTTACAGGTAAAATATTCCCTAGTCTCTAGTCACTATGCCGAGCTGTATTAGAGTAAATTCTGTTAGGATTTCCACTCATCTCCACTTGGTCATGGCTAAAACTTATATGCTTATTTATGGAATTGGCAGAAATGACTGGCAGAATCCGAGACCAGGGAGAAGAGTCGGTGAAAGAAGACTGAAAGAAATTTAAAGACTATTTACAGAAATATTGTAAAATTAAGGAATCTTAGAAGGATGTTGGATAGAAACTAAGTGGTTTCCAGCTGTAATGCTTTAAGAGATACGAAAAAAGGTTTACAAATGGGTAAAAGCTTAATGGTAAGGATTTGCTGAACTAACAAACTGAACTGGAATACAAAAAAGGGAGGTACGAGGAGGTCCGGGGAAATAAGTGTAAGGAAGATATGCTTTGGAAAATTAACGTGTTTTTAACTGTTTTTATTTTGTATGTTTCTTTTTATTTTTTTTATTTTTTGTTATATCTTAAAAACTTTATTCTTTTTTCTGTATTTTGTATTTTCTTGTATTTATATTTTTTGTTTTTGTGTAATTCTTGTATTCTTTGAAACTTTAATAAATATCATTTAAAAAAACAACTTATATGCTTATTTAGCATTGTTCGTGGAGGGCTTTTGCTGCAAATTGTGGAGCTGCTTGTGGGCTTGGGCTTTGTGTCTGTTTGTTTAACTTTGCTTTAATGTTGCCTGTTCACCGAGAAGCTGAAGTTTGTTCAGGTTTTTTAGCTGTTCACTGGCAAGCTGCAGGATTTATCCTTTTTTTTAGGGAGGGTTTTAATTTATTGTAGCTTATTG